CAGCTTTGCTTGAGTCAGCAAACGATCCCAGGCCAGTTTGCTTTACTAGACATTTGAATTAACATCAGAAGAACCAGAGCGAAACATCCAGACTGGGGCAAGGGGAAGAAAGGTGGGGTTTTTTTTCCTTCTTTGGAAGCAATACGGCCAGAGTGAAAAGTAGATATTCAGCCATATCTGTCTATCTGCTGTGGCCTTCAAACTATGGCTCAAGCAGCAAAGGAATATAGTCTGCTGTATTTATAACAGGGGAAATACAAACCTCCTGTTATAGTATTTTCTCAGTAAAATGGTACTCAAGAGCAGAAGCTTCCTCCCATCCTATCATGGTAGGGAGATGCAGATCAAAGATACCCTTCTTCCTTAGAAGAGGCAAGGAAAAAACACACAAAAAAACCCCAACCCCAAACAACAGAAAAAGGCAGAGCGACAGCTTTAGTTTTTCAACATTTTACAGCTGTTTAAGAAAAGTTTCTACAAACTCTTAGGATTTGATTTTCAATTGGTCTTCTGCATGAGATCTGGAAGGAAAAGAAATAATCAGTAAATAAACCTGAGGAGGGGGGCGGGGGCAGCATTATACTACTTAGCAATAAAAACATGCCAGCTCATGACAAGCCAGCTGTTTCCAGGTGACTGATTAAAGGAACAGGTGATGCCAGATACTATTATGATTCACAGAAGAGGACACTAAATAAGCTGAATCCATTTTAGTCATCATTCCTCTAGTGGCCAAGATCTACATAATTGAGGACTTGCAGGGGGGCGGGGGCAGCATTATACTACTTAGCAATAAAAACATGCCAGCTCATGACAAGCCAGCTGTTTCCAGGTGACTGATTAAAGGAACAGGTGATGCCAGATACTATTATGATTCACAGAAGAGGACACTAAATAAGCTGAATCCATTTTAGTCATCATTCCTCTAGTGGCCAAGATCTACATAATTGAGGACTTGCTGTGGTATATAATAGCATCAACATCATTAGATGCTCCTCTTGGAGATACAGATACAGCAAAAGGCATCAGAAAATAGCTTTCACATGAACTTTACCGTAAGTGAAAACACCCCAACCAGTCTGCAAGACTCACGTTCCCAGGAGTCCAAGAGATTGAACTGCAGCTGCTTGTTAGCGTACAATCCATCAACAATACGCAAGTCACAAGTATAAACCCTATTCTCTCATCTTCTCAAATAACTCTGGTGTTGACTTTGTGAGATCAGAAGGGAAGAGGTAGTATAGACTACTGCAACTCAATTGCTTAATGAAGAACAGAAGCAGATTATGTATACTCTGAACCACATAGACTTTCACAACAAACTATTTGTCATGGTTTGGCAATTCCTTTTTTCAGGTTTAGGACCCACCTATTTAAAGCATTATATCCTTCCAAGATACCAGTATTTTAAGAGCTCAGATTATCAAGGTCCTTGGATGTTGGGGTATTTGAAGCATTTTTGATGGAAGCTATGCCATGCAATCAAGCTCAAAACATATCTCCGTTCTACTAGCAAGGAGAAAGCAGCTTCCTTCTCCATCATGTGCTATCAAAGAACACTACTGTAAAATCAGTACCTGAAACACTTTTTCTTAAGAAAGAAAAAAATTGTTCACTGCTTTCAAAAGCTGCTGTCCCTTGTATGCAGAACTGAAGGGAATCAGTTCTTAATAACAGTCAAGCTTATGAACTAAGCCAAGTAACAGTTACTAGAACTCTTCTTTAAAGCCTTATTAGTTCCCAGCAATAATAGAACATAATTGTCTTTTTTTTACAATTTTATTATTTAATTAGCTGAGCAATTTGAAAACAAGAGCATTGCCATAAAGGGTCTCACTGCAGTTTTCTAACTCCAGCTGTGTTTTGAAGAAGTCTTTGATTCAGATTCTCGTTGAAATTTCAAGTTTAACTATTCAATTCCTCTCCCTCCCATATAGCATTTACAAAGTTATATAAAGGTTCCAATTTAAACATTACTAACAAGCCTCATTGCTTAAGTATATGCTAAAATAGTACAGCTTCCTCCAGCCTCAAGCAAACATCCAAACAAGAACAGAAGGAAGTTTCACATGTTCTGTTATCTTTATTGCAATACACAATCATTTCTTTTAACTCAGCTCATTTTTAAATGCTTTCGGGAACATTTGCAAGTACTGCAAGTCAAGTCGGCAGAAACAGGAAGGATTCAAAACATACGTCAGCAGGTTTTGAGCACAGTGGGCATTTCAAAGGCTAATAAAGTCTCCAGGGAAAGCAAGTAGTCATTTTTCTAAGAAAAAAAATATTAACAGCTGATAAGTAAATAGTACTATTATTAAGAAAGAATTACTAGTTTCAGATTTCTGTGCATCACTTCTCTGCCATTTCAACAGGGAGTTTTGGTTTTCATTGCTCATAGAACTCTTTTACACAGCCTTCCAAAAAGGAAGAAAAAAAGACACAAATGCATTATGAGACCCTTTGGTTTCCAGGCAGCACCTTCTGTCTCTGACTGTCAAGCACTGGAACAGGCCGCCTAGGGAAGTGGTGGATTCACCATCACTGGAGGCGTTTAAAAAAAAAAAAACAAACATATAGACGTGGCACTTCAGGATATGGTTTAGTGGGCATGGTGGGGTAAGGTTGATGGTTGGACTTGATGATCTTGGAGGTCTTTTCCAACCTTA